CTCCTCACAACATGTCCAAAGTAAGTTAGACGGAGCCTCAGAATCCTTGCCTCCAAGGAGCCACCCGGTTTAACCCTCTCCAGGACAAATCTGATCAGTCTGAGGTTTCATATATGCTGTAATAATGAACAAAACTGCCCTTATTATTTAGTGTGTTGGAAGTGGGTTGGGGAGTTAGACAAAACAAGAATAGCAAAGGTCTGATAATTGTTGCAGCTGGATGAAGTGTACTTGGGGTGGTCCATTGTACTATCATAGTCATAACTGGTTCTGCTAAGATTAGTAGGCCAGTTATAAGAAGTGTCCAGCCAATGTCCTAAATGCTTGACCTGCTGTATGCATCCATGATTCCCAGCATCAACAACCTACCATTTGTTCTATTTTCTACCTCCTCTATGCCCCTTGGGTTTAGTGGTTCACTGGAAGATTTCCCAGAGACTCAGATCTGTCAGCGCAATGACTTACTTGACTGTAGGTATGAAGATCGTTTTGTATATACTGGTGATAGTTGTAGACTATCTGTTGAAGGCAGGTGTCCCAAGATAAAGAAAGGACTACTATGGAGTTTATATAAGCCTCTAATAGGGTGGGCCTTGTATCCCATCCAGTTTCTCCTTAATACAATAAATATATGAGCACAAAATAAACAGTTAATAAATAACTGGCTAGGAAAAAACAATATGAATTATAAACTTTAGTCACTTAGAACTATACTTTCTCCTCTTTGGTATGTTTCCCCCCACTGAAGTCACATAACAAACTGTTCATTGTCTCAAAAGGGAATGTATTACTGGTACAGAAGACCCTAGGGAAGTAGTAAGGAAACACTCCCTGGCAGAGGATAATGATGCTCTCTAGAAATCTTGTGCTCAGGTTGAGCTCGAAAGTGGAGACAACAAAGATGTCAGGCATAGACTGAGTAGTATGCAGGGAAGAACTATGTACTGCCACATTGGTCATCTTATCTTCCCCATTTTTCATTCCTCTTTGAACAAAGTCAGATATGCTAATTCAACCCATTTATCCAGAGCACCTACTATATGCTGGGCTCTCTACAAAGACTTCAACTAGATTATGCCCATACTAATTTTATGGAGGAGGTAACCTTGAAAAAGTCACTTGGCATCCCAGAGGGACTCAATGTATACGTCGGTAAAAAGGGTACAGAGAAACCTTGTAAGGATCATAGATCTCGACTATCAAGACTGTGACTCAAATCATTGGCAGCCATCATTCTCGACAAGTGTGAGCGATTCCTGTAGAGTGCGCCTCCTGCAGAGTCGTGTCCACCCTCGCGGCTATGGCCGGTCTCACAGTGCCCACAGCAGGTGGACAGCCTGGAAGCCGGGAGGCTAGCGCAGGCGGATTGGATGACCAAGGTCTTCCTCCCTTACATGCAACGCAGGTGGGCATCCAGGCCCAGACCACAGAGGTGGAGGCACAGCGCGAGAGCGAGGCCCAGAGGAAGGGTGCAAGGGGCCCCCTGTGCCCGCGCAGGTCACCCCCGGGGACAGCCCAGCCCTGGGCCCGCCGGCTCTGCCGCTGCGAAAACCCGGAGCGACGGAGCGGAGCACGCGCCTCGCGCTGGCAGCCAACTCCTCCGCGGTCCGGCCGCCGCGCCGGGCATGCGCAGTGCGGCCGCCGCCGTGCGCCAACTGGGAAGCTCCCGCGCCCGGGCCTCGGGGGCGAGAACGCCGCGGGCGGCGAACCGGCGTCGCCCGCCGCCGCCCGCCGCCCCCAGGTAGTGGCAAACTTCGCGGCGGCCCCGAGGGCTGCCCCCGACAAGACTGACCCCTCATAAATAAAATCAAATCCAAGTACCCAAGCCCAGTCCTGGAGGCGAAGGCTGCCGGCGCACCCGGCCGCTGGCCCCAGTCCGCTAGCCAGTGACCAACAGGTAAACCTTTGGGGGTGGGTGGGGGTGGGGCCCGGCGCGGGTGGGCGTCGGAGCTGGCAGGGTCCTGGGCACCGCGGCCGCGGCCCTGCCTCAACCGCGTTACCTCTCCCTAGCCCTGCAGCCCATGGAGAGGCAGCGAAGGGTTAAGTCGGCCCCGCGCCACCACGAGCGCTGCCCCTCCAGCTGCCGCCAGCGCCAGCAGTGCGCCGCGGCGCTTGCCCGGAGCTGCGGAGGGGAACCTAGGTGCGCGGTAGCGCCCCGGTCCGGCGGGCGTCTAGGGGGCACCGGCTGTGTCCCTGTCCACCCTCCACCTGCTCCAGGTCTCCGCTCCGGTCCGCGCCCAGATGGCAGGGCTCTGCGGGGCCCGTGTCGGCGTGGACAGGGTCCCGGCCAAGGTAGAGGGGTGGTGGCAGGCCGCTTCCCCGGGAAGGGGTGGTCCACCCTCGCCCCGGGCGAGCGCTTGAGCCACTGGCCCAGGCGCCCAGAAAAGTTTTTTTTTCCCGTCCTGTGCCCTTCCCCCACTCCAGCCCTGCGCCCGGCTGGGGTGGGTTTGGGTCCTTTGGTGAAAAGAGTCACACGTTCCCATCAGCTGCTCCTCCCCCTGGGGATGGGGTGGGGGTGGCGGTAGGCGGGCGCTGCGGGGACCTGGGCCGCCTCCAGCCCGTCGGCCCCACTGGTGCGTCCCCGGGCCCGCGCGCTCGGTGCTCGCGCACTCGGTGCCCGCCGGGGCTTCCCCCATCAGTGCGTGTCTGCGTGCCGGGCACCAGCAGCATCCAACCTGCTTTATTCCTCCTGCAGCTCCACGGCGAGCGAGCGAGGAGGGGAGAGCGTCTGTCTGCGAAGTGCTGCTCCCTGGTGCTCAGAGGCAGCTGCTCCAGCTCCAGCTCCAACTCTCATTCATTTCGCCGGTTAACATGAGAGATCATGGCCGCCTTCGGGCTTCTCAGCTATGAGCAGAGACCGCTGAAGCGCCCCCGGCTCGGGCCGCCCGATGTCTATCCCCAAGACCCCAAGCAGAAGGAGGTGAGGGCGCCGGCGGCCTGCCGGGCACCCAGGGCCGCGCTCTGCAGCGCTGACCTGGGGCCAAGTTGTCTCCTCCGGCATCTCTGGCGCTTTGGAGGGTTGAAGAGGGGGGCTGGGAGCGGAGGCTGGACTGGGGGCTGGAGGACCCCGGCAATGGAGACCTAAGGGCGGTCAATCTTTGAATTCCCCTGGAGCGCAATCTCCCGGTGCCAGTTGCTCTCTGGTTGTCACCGGGCCTTGCACGGCACCGCTGAGTGCTTCTCGGGGTTTGTGGGTTTTTTGTTTGTTTTTTGCCGAACCCTTCAGCTCCTTCATCCGCACTCCTACCTGTTTTATTTTCCTCCCCGTTGCTTTGGTAAATCCTCGTAAACTTTTTGAAAAATGTTGGAATGCAGTGCATCCTACACCGAGGTCTTGCGTTTTTTGCCAGCAGAGCAGGAAAGTGGGGGAAGGAGGCTTTTCAGTCTCAACATTTTCAGTTAAGAATGGGAGTCGTTTTTTATTGAAGTGATAAGTATTTAGCTCTCTGAAGGTACTTCTGTACAGTATCTCTTCTCTTAAAGGAAAAAAAAATCAATATTAAAGAGAAACACTGATTTTTTTTAGACCCTAGAGGCAATTGGTTTAATTACTGGAAGCTGTTACCTTGGAAGGGACTAGGTCCCAGTATTGCTTAATTTCTTTGAATGAAATTAATTGGAGAAACCTTGACTCTTGCACCAGGGTACCACTGGCTTCAATGATTAGGGTAACCATGGCATTTTGTAGCTATGTATTTGCAGTTAACAAGTAATTATGTAACACCTCTATGGTTATAATGATCCTCCTTGGCTACACAATTTGCCAGGGGACTTGCCCCCCCCTTTCTTTTTAAAATTTTGATCACCTGCTACCCTGCCATACTTTTCAGAGTTTGCCTGCTGCAGCTTCCCTATTCTCTGCTTTCTTTAGCTAGACCCTGAATGACCACATATCAAGCAAAACATTATCTTTCTGGATTTCTAAATTAAATAAAGTTTACAGACCCACTGATATCACAGAAAGGCAAGGAAGGGGGCCTTACAACTTCTGTTTTTATAAATGTATCTAAATCAGTAGCAGAGGAAGGATGCTTTTTTCCTAGTTAATCTTTTGTTGATGTGTCTGGAAAATTGTCGAAGTTTAGCACAAATGTATGTAAAAAGTAGTGTGATATAGTTGGTGTGTGGAAAGGTTTTCTAGGTAGGTTCGAGCAGACGCTTACTGTGAAGAAGAGTGCGTTTAAGGAGAGCCTGGATTCCTTCTCCACCCAGTTCATGGCCTCCTACTACTCAGACTTTGCTGAAGATAATTGCTAAGGACCATAACAGTTTTAAAAGGTAATTTAAGAATGATTGGCACAACATTGTTACTGCTTTGGTGTGGAAGGGTATTTAGATAGAAAAAAGAGTTGAGGGCAGGAGAGGGAAAGAAAGAAATTGGTCCTAAGAAACAAACAGGCCTTTTATTACATGGTCTGAGAGGGACTCGAAGTGACCAAGAGCAGAGAAGGTCAAAATAACGTGAGGGGTTCACTTTTATAGGGGTTTTTTAGAGAGGACTAGGAAAGATGGATGGAATTTGGGGCTGTTAGTTAACTTAGGTTTCAGCTTTTGTGATCAGGCCCAGAGCCTCAACAGGATCCATTGTCCAGTCTCACCCAATCTGGTCTTTGGTCTGGGTTCTGGTCTGCTGTTTGCTTTGGTCTCTGCTCCTGTTGCCTGAGATGTTATCAAGTTTCTCAAGGAGTGATCAGGCCTGGGGCAACTGCTATAGTCCTCTTCCAATGAGTTCATTGATTAGCTGGGGGACATTGATTGACTGATTGTTACCACCTTGCCAGTTCTTTCCAGGAGACAGCATGATACATACTGGAATCGCGATTGTTGTGGGATGGTGGTCAGACCTGCCTTGTGGTTGTATTTATTGTTGTTGTGCACCTTCTAGTCTGAATCACGTTTTCAGAGGCATTTAATCCCATTTAATGTGTGTGTGTGTGTGGTGGTGGTGGTGGTGGTGTTAAGCAGCTAATTGATTAGAACCTCAAACCTTTGGGATGCCAGTGCAAGTTCTTACCATTAGGCCACTAGAGTTCCCTTGTGGGTGTATTTAGCCTATACTCATTCAAGATTGGAACTCTTATGATTCGGTAATTTTGTATTTCATGGTTTTATGACATTTTACAGAGTTTGGAAATGGAAAAGTGATCAAAGTGCCTACCGTAATTTTATAATTTACTTTTGAACAAAAGGAGACAGCAGGAAGGCCGTGTTGGTAGGTAGGGACCATAGTATTGACTCTGACTCCTTGTGACCACTGTGTGCAACAGAAAGAAGCCCTGCCTGCTCCTACTCTACTCTATCCTCACAGTCACCGCTGCTCTTAAGACCATTGTTTCAGTAACTGTCACTTCATTCCATTGAGGGTCTAAGTATGATAGCCTTTTCCAGGGCTTGACCCCTCCAGATGACATGCTTATGATTTAATCATGGTATATAGAGAATAAATAGAGGAGTTAGAGTACCAAACCACTATCTGTATTAAAACGAGTACTGGGTTGGAGATGCTGTTGCCGAATCTTCTAATGTTATTCCCTTTCTCTAAGACAACCAACATTTTATCTTTTGAGCAGAGTCAGAAGTATCATCGATTCAGCTACGGCTTATAAGCAACCTCGTTCGTATACAACAGGATGAAATCCTGTTTTATTTTGTGCCATCCTCATAGTCCTGTTGCAGTCACTGTGTCAGCCTGTCTTGTTGAAGGTTTTCGTCTCTTTCACTGCCCCTCTACTTCACAAGCATGGCATACATGCGGTGAAGTCTTGCCATGTTAACTTAAATCACATTGTTCTTCTAGCAGTGCATGTATGTTCAATATTCGTTATATTCAATATTCTTCACCAGTACTAAAATTCAAAAGCCTATGTTTTATTCTATTTTTCGTATGCATTGTCCAGCTTTTCCTGGACAAATAAGGTGGTTGAAAATACCATACCTTGAGTCTGGTATTCTTTTTTTTTATTATTATTAAATTTTATTAGTTTCAGTGAACATTCACAGGGATTCTGGGCTTTTCACTCCTTCATTGCCGCACCATTCTCTCCACCCTCCTCCCCAGTTTGTTCTTCTTCCAATTGCCACAGTGCTTGTCAAAGTCATTTCTGATTAATCTCCTTTGTCAGTGTGTCCTTTGCCATTCCCTATCACTCCTCCCTGAGAGAGACTTCACCCTGATTCATAAGGAAAAGGGGAT